GAGGGAAAGGATCTCCACCAGGAAAATACTCTGTTCATGCCTAGAATTTGAAAGCCCCAAATTATTCCATGTTTAGAATGGATGTGGAATGTTTAGTCTGACCATAATTCTAGACTTAACAAATGTTATGTACTTTGAAGCAAGTACCAAAATGAGTGGGAAGAGTGATAGGATTCAGAAGTTGGAAAAAAAGCATTGAGAACTCTGAAAACTGTAATTTTCTCCTAATTTTCCTGAAACTATTCTTGAAAGATTTCACAGAGAAAAAAAAATAATTTAAGAATTCCGGGATTCATTGTTTATAGTAGAATATATATTTTCAGTTAGTCTGAAAATCGTTTTTGGTAGAAGAGACCTAGTTTTAACTTCTTGAGATTAGATGTTTTCTGGTGTTTTAGTGAAATTCCTTCCACAATTACATAGCTGGTTTAAAATGTTCATATCTATTAGTAAAAACACATGGAATATATCACCCAAATAATATTTTATTCCACATATAGGTTGTCAGTTTAGTTACAAGGATCAGTTCGTCTCTTGTATTTGCTGGCACCTTGATGAAAAAATAGCTGTATGAACATTATCAACTCGTGATAGGACTTAGCACTTGGCAACATAAGGATTCTAAGCCTGGTAACTGAGATTCTTGGTTGAAGTCTCTACATAGCTCTTCCCCTGAGATACCTAAAGCACGAGGAATTAAAGCATGCTATGGGAAATGCAAAATGCATTGACCGTTTAAATAGACTGGGATGGATATTCTTCATTCCTATTCCCTTGGTCCAAAATATTAAAACAAACTAAAGGTAAACCTTGCATACTTTTTTTTTGCCCAGTGTTTACAAGCTCATATGAAAGCTCCAGTGCTTTAAAATGGTTTTGATGTAAATATTTGGCTTGTATTATATAAATATGTTTAACCTATTTAAAGCTAGTTATTGTCATTGTTTTTAAAATTACTTTATTGCTATTGTTTCGTTACTTTTTTCTTTCATTTACATTTTTTCTTCAAGAGTGCAGATTTGTGTTCAAATATTAGCCTTGTGCAGGGCCTGACAGATAGTGAGTAATACTCATGAAACCTTAGACAATTCATTTAACTGTCTTAGCATCAATTGCACTAACTGAAAATGAATATGTTGTGGATGGTTTCTTAGGATAGTAATTCTAAAATTGTGGGTGAGATGACAGGAGAAAGGTGACTTTTAAATTACATCCCTCCTCATGGCATTTAACAAGAGATGTTACCGATAGGCATTATTATGCAGGGATTCAAAGTAGAGGACAGAAAGTTGTAACTCTTTTTTAGCTCCTTATTGCTTTAAGAATTTGTGATTCCGTGTTCATAATCTTCCTATGCTATTCCATCTTAACAAACCAAATGAACCCAATTTTACAAAACTGATTTTACTTTCATCCTGTCAGTTGCTGAAGAGGCAAAGTTCCTCAAAATCTTAAAGTAGAGATTAAGTTAATAATCATGACTTTTGTTTATTGATGTAGGTGTTCTTTATTTTTATTCAAAAAGTAATTTTGTCTGCTAACTGCCTCAGAGAAATACAAAGGCGAGCTTCTTTTTAACTTTTATCTTTAACCTTTCTGATAACATACCTCTTTAACACATTGACTCGTACCCCCACCAAAGTGTGTGCACAATGTGTGTGTTTTTGTGTATTTATTTTTATACGTATTTTATATTTAGTTCACTAATAAAAACAATACAGCCTTTGGAAAGTAAACTTTAGGCTTGCTTATTTTTTTATGCCACTTATCTTATTTTAATCAAAGAAAAATATTTTAAGACATCCATTTTCTCCAGTCCTGGCTGCTGTTTTCTTGACTATAATTGCCTAGTTTCCTTTCTAGCTGATCTATTGCTAGACTTTATCTGGATGTTATTAAAGAATATAAATGCTCCATAGAGCACTGTAGTCTCAGCCAAAATATTTTCAGATTCTCAACTAAAATGAAACAGAACCGGTGGTTTAGCTGTTAAGTAAGTAGCTCAAATTTGTTGTCAGAGTGTGTAAGGAACTCTGAATTCATTATGTTAGTTCCTGCGATGTAGCATTTGAAAAATAGCTTTGGCTGTTTATGGAGTGTGGTCCTTGGGCACCAGATAGTGGATGTTGGAATGTATTGCAGAAAAGCTGATTAAAATGCTAGGGTCTCTAACGGTATGAGGAGAAAGCCATTTGTAAGACCTGTGTCTGACACTCGGATGCACTTAAGTGTTTCCTTTTGAAAGCTTTGGTTTATTATCATTGTATCCATGAGAGAATAACAACAACAACAACAAAAAAGTGCCTTTTGGAAAAAACATCAATATACTGTTCTTGATGAGAAGTTTATGTAGGTAGACTGATTCGAACTTCGAAGATCCCAAATACTTTGCAGTTTTATTACCTAGCTTATTGGAGTCGTGTTTCACTATGACTTAGATTTCAATGGTAGCTACTTTCAGTTCCCAATTTTAATGTTTTTACTATATATTAGGGAATTTATACTTACTCCAAAATATAAACTATGTCAGTTCATTGTCCCATCTATCCTCTCCCTTTGCCTTGCACTGCTTTCCTTCCCAGCAAAAGTTCACTAGCGTAGAGCATGGAAATATTTTACATAATCACAAAAATTAATAGATCTTTAAATATATTTTGTAAAAATTTTTTAATATTTCCTCATTGTTTTTAAAATAATGTTCAAATTTCTTAGAGAGCTATTCATGATCTTTCTAATTCTTCTCTTCTTGATTCTTACCCATTCCCCTGCATGAGTCCTTTGCTTCAGGTTTACAGAGCAATTGTTTCCCTTCTCATTTCTTTTACTTTGGTTTCTTCCTTCTCCCCGACCCTTCTCCACCTGAGGATCACCTCTTCTTCCTTCAAAACTCTGTACAGGTTTCCCCTATTCCGGGAAGCCTTTCTTGAACTATAAAACCCTGCCTCTTATTAATCCCATTTAAACTGGCTTTTAAGCTCTTGATAACATGTCATAAGATTCTTTTCATCCTCTACTGTAATCATTTGTTTGTCTGTCTCATTTAATAGACTAATATTCCTTAAGTTCAAAGATGATAGTGTCTTTTTGGTTTTGAATCTGAAAGATAGATCTTTTAAATAAATGTTCATTACCTGACCGAATGAATGACTTTTATAAACAATTCCATAATTTGACTTTGCTCTTGATATTTAAGATATTTGAGGGTGTGGGTTTTGTCATTTTCGTCACAGAAGCTTTATATGTTGACTCACTAACTTTCATATTGCCAACTAAAATGTTTACTAAAAATAGGTCTTTGGCTTTGGGAAGTAGAGGACTTTATTGGCTAGGGGATATAATATAAATCTTAAACTGTTAACAATTAAAGATTCTGGGATACAATATGTGGGAAATTGGAAAGACCAACTCTTATAACCATGAATCATACATTCTAGCTTATCCATGTATATTGTTGAGCCTGTGACTTTATTAGTATGTAAAATTTCCTTAGGAGAGAGTAGATATTTAACAACTTTTTTTATTTAAAAATAACTTTACAGTTTTTAGATTTTAATGTAATCTTAATCTGAGAAGCAAGACAAAGTTTAAACTAAAAAGGATATTTGCTAATGATGGGTTATAGAACTTAAACATATGCTTGATGGTCTTGAGGTGTCTTTAGTATTTGCATGAATATTTTGCATTCTGTAGTAAAATAGAAAAAAATACAAAGAAATCCATATTTACAAATAAGATTTAAAAAAATAATGTAAGCTTTTCTTAGTAGAATTAAAACATTTTCGTTTAGTCTTTTAGTGTACTTAATATTTACTTTCACATAATCATTTGCTTAGATATTTTGTGTAATTATTTCTTTAATGATATTATAGCCAACTGAATCTGTGTATTATAGCTGAATCACAGTCCTGGCTATTCTTTTTATCTATTGCATGTACAAATGCTGTTATTATTAAAATTCCTTATTCTTCAGTTGAGCTTACAAAAAAAAACTTGTTTATTAGATCTTAAATCCCCTAAAAAATTGTATTGAAGTTTTTTTGCGATGTACAAATTCTGTTATTATTAAAATTCCTTATTCTTCAGTTGAGCTTACAAAAAAAAACTTGTTTATTAGATCTTGAATACCCTAAGAAATTAGTATTGAAGATTTTAAATTACATACCTCGTTTCAGTCTGTGATATATTAAAAAATAGAATGGAGAAAAACTTATTTACATTTCAGTAGTTGGATATCTCTGCTCATTCTCAGAGACCCCAGCCTCCTTTTTAAAAATACTTTCAAAATTTATTGTTTGTTTAAATTTGGTATTGAATTTGTATAAATCGTAAAGGTTATAGCACATTAGAATATTATCGTCATTTAAAAATATATTCATTGTTTTGTTTTTTGGAGCGCTGCCTCCAAGAGGTTCATAGCATTTGGTACGTACTTCACATATTTCTAGTCTACAGACCTACCCTATCGAGGCAAAGGCTTCATGATTCTGATTTTTTTTTCCTACTGCTATAAAGCTCAGCAATGTTAATTAATTTTTTTAACTTTCCATGTCATTACAAAGAAAACTGAGTTTTTTATGAAGACAAGTAATTTGTACCTTTAAAAAGCCACATTATTTTGCTTTTGTCTCAGAATGTATTATGCTTCACAAGTATACTGTGACAGGGTGAATAGAAAAAGGGGGAGGGGACATTGTCTTCAGCTGGCATGCTGTTATCAGAGGGAATGTGTTTCTGGACACGAAATTTAGCATTCATTGGTTGTCTGAAGAAAGCTATTTCATCTGAGGATTGGACAAGAAGCTGCGTCAATTTGCTGCCCGTCTCCAAGGCACTGGTGATGCTGCCTTCACAAGCTGGCTAACGTCACGGCTCCATCACCCAGCGGGGTGTGGACTCTCTTTTTCTGTTCTTCTCTATTTAATTCTCTATTTGCTGCCTACTGCATTCCTTAATCTGTCTTCTGCCAAATGCTAACAGCATGATATTTTGCAATCATCTAGGTGAATACAAGAAAGACGAACTCCTAGAAGCTGCTAGGTAAGTGATTCCATTCATTTTAAGTGAGTGTAATGCATTTAAGGGAGAAAGGGGGAGGGCAGGTGGAGGACTATAAAAATTATAACATGTTATTGTCTTGCTTGGATTTTATGCAATAATGCAGATAAGACTTTATACAAAATCTTTGTGTACTTTATTTTACATGATTAGTGTATTAAATGAGACAGTCTTTCAATATGGTGATGATTATAAGGTTAATTTTATTTGGAACATTTCTTAAGGTACCTGCAAACCTTAGTTGCCCAGCTTCTCCAGTGATATTCTTGAAGTATTTAAATACCTATATCTTCATTTTTCTTTGAAAATTTTTCTAATTTTCAAAAGCTTGAATGAAGGACATAAAGTAAATGTTAAAAATTCTCATCCATTTTCTTTTGTTCTTAGTCATTTATAATTTAATTGATTAGCTTTTCATAGCATTTTGTGGATATTTTTAACTCCGGTGTTTTAGATTACTTATCAGTATAAAGTTTGTTTGTATTAGGAAGATGACTTTATGCAGATAAATAAAACAAATAAAAATGTAGAAAGCTACATTTTCCAAGTTGTACCATTATATGATGATTAATAGGAGTTAATTAGAAATATATTAATTAAATTGACTATAGCAAAAGAGATTCATTCAGAACCATATAAAATAAATCAAAGTAAACACATATTATTTTCCACTCTCTTGTGAAAAATACCCAGAAATATTCATAAGAAGCTGTATATTTTTATAAGAATTGACTTACTACCTTTTTATAGGAGTGGTAATGAAGAAAAACTAATGGCTTTACTGACTCCTCTAAATGTGAATTGCCATGCAAGTGATGGGCGAAAGGTAAGTCATTTAAAATATAATCGTCCCCTTTAGTAATTCCTTTTTGCTTTACATTTAAAATATTTTGAGTTGGTATATATATGTATGTGTGTGTACACACACACACACACACACACACACACAGGGCTGTATTTTTACTGGCATCTTTTCACTATAAAATGAAATGCTGTATATCTGTTATTGGCAGTTGTGACATATTCATAGAGCTGGCGAAGCGTGGCTCTTAAGCCTTTTCTCTTTAAATGTCAGACACTGAAAGTTGTTTGTTATGTAGAACTGCAGCTTTGTTGACAATTAAACTTATAACAACATATTATTTTCTGAATATAATAATGGAAATTGGAAATATTTGTTTATGTCGGATTTACCCATCTTTGTTAGGATATATGTATTTTACACTTATTTGGCAGAGGAAAATGTTAGGTAACACTTTTTACATTTAAAGCTGAAAAAATGTTGCTAATAATTTTTTTAGATCTGTGTAACAGCCCTCCTTTTTTATTTTTTTTTATTGGCTAAGTTTTTATAATAGTATATTTAAAGAAAATAGATTAAAGCAGAGAGAAATAGTCTTCATTAATATACAATTGTCATAGTGTAAGATAATATATAAAATGTACAGCTGGCAACTAATTATCTGCTTTATGTTTTTGCTGAATAGAGACTGAAATATAATTCTCTACAGCCTTTGGTGATTGACTGCAAAGTTTAAGAGTGATTTGCCTAATAGATATTGAAAAACAAAGCACTTTGTACTGTTGTGTCTTTTTTAAATGACACTTAATTTTTTAATGTTAAATGATGGCTTTTATATTTTAAAAATATAAAATATTTACGTTACACTACAAATATTGAAGAAAATCATCTTGTGCCTAATATTTAAAGCATTAATTTCTTTGAATTTACTTATACTGCATATATGCTATGAAAATATCAGGATAGATGGTACCCCTTAGAAATAATAAACTATTTTGCCATTTAAAAATTATTTTTCTGAATGATAATCTTATAGATAAAAATGATTCAGTTTTCCTTGACTCCTTCCACACTTTTTTCCCATTCTAATGAAACCCATATAATAGTGGCAAGGAATTGAATCTCTCAATATATATTATTTGTTATTGTAGGTGGCATGGTTATTATTTCACATGACCTAATGAGTGTTCACTTTTTCTGGATAATTTGAAGAGAGACTTCTACTTTCATGGCAGGTTAAATTATGTACATATCTAGCAAAGATTTTGGCTTTTTGAAGATATTTTTAAATGATAACTGCTCCTTTTCCTTCAGTATTGAAGTTGCTTTAAAGATTTTAACATTCTTGAGTTACTTTAAGCTCCAGATCCTCTTGGATCCTCTTACTAGATAAAGTGACTTTTATCACTGTGCAGAAATACCTTCTTATCTGTGGTAAGTGCAGCTATATCTTTATACAGAGTTCTTTTTAGAATCCAGCATACTTCAGTTTTTCATAGCCATTTTGCATAATCTACGTGAGATTAGCGTGAGTTGATTTTCATCCCAGCTTCATTCTCCCATCCTTACCCTTATACCTTAACAGCCCATTTCTAGCTCAGTAAATCATAATAATTAAGGAGCATGAACACTATAATTAACAGATTACTTCTTCTCCCTGCCTCACCCCTACACAAATTTATAGAACTCCTTTATTTTTCCTTCCTCCCAAAGGAGGATACACTTCCCTCATTTCTTTAGCTGGAGCCAGTGTATTTCTCATCCAAATTCCTCTGGCTCCTTTTCTGTATTACTCTATAGCATTTACCACAGAGTTCTTGAATTGTAGTTATTCATACATGACTTTTTCTTCTACTAACCTATTAGCTTTCTTTTGTATTTTATACCAGACCAAGCTGGGCACTTCACATGTAGCAGAAGCTTAGGATATGATTTTGCTCCCTGATAAACAATTTTATCCTCTGAGTGAAAAAAAAATCATCTGTATTTTTTGCCATTTAGATAATTAACTCAGAAGTATGTGAACGAGGGGGCTGTTATATTGTCTGTTATATGTTATTAGTAGTATTTTATTAATTTGCTTTTGAGTAATTATACCATGAAAGAGATGTATATATTTTGATGTGTAGAACACTTTTAAAAACACATCTCAATATTATTATTATACTGAAGGATTCATAACATATGAATAATATAATAATTTTTCAAAATGTACTCTTATTTTTTAGATTATCAATTTTCTCAAATTAAATAGAAAAATTAGACTTACGTATTTATTAAGTTTTTGTGCTATTTATGCATATAACATAAAATTTAAAATGGTCCATCGGTATGCAAAATACAAATCCAATTTCATAATTAAAATTGAATAACATCTGTATTGAAATGTTACCCTTGTTGATGGCACAGAGCAATTCTTATTAAATGTACCAGTTGCAGTAAAGCAACAAAGCAGTAAATTATTCTAGGAGCTAATGGAGATTGAGATGAGATTCCTTAGTTATGACATTATTTTTTGTTTTCTTACTATTGACGTTAAGAAAATGTGTAAGCAAATCTAGCTGCTAAATTACAGCCCTGTCTTATATATTTAGTATTTTTGAAAGCCATTTGCATGTATTTGTCTAGAATTAGGAAGTCAGATTGTCTATTAACAAGAGGCACTTTACATATATAGAAAGTTAGTTGGATATATAAAGTTTTATTTCTTGAATTTGTATTTTAGAACACAGCACAGAATCAAATTCATTTTTAGAGGGTTTCTAAATGACTATATTAATGCTTAACTGAGTCTTTGCCTGTCTCTGTTTTTACTGTAATTCCTGGTTTGTAAATTTTAGAAGCCCATGGAAATGTCAATTTTATAATGTTTTTAGAAAAGAAATGTTCCTTATACATTAACTAGTAGGTGGAGAATTTACCTAAATATGTGTGGGGTTTTAGACTTCAGCATTCCTTTTTAATGTAATGCGTGGGATTATACAATGACAGTGTAAATTTTAAATAGTCTCTTAATTCTATACTGTGACTTGATGATTATCTAATTAGGTAATATGTGAGTGGTTAATATTTTTATCTCCCATAGACATTTGTTTTTCTGACCTGTAGAATTCTGAAAATAGTGAAGTACCAATAAGATTTTAAGTAATTTATATATATATATTATTCTTTGATTTTACATGTAAATCAAAATAGAGTTTGGAATTTTTAGTTGTTTTTTCCCTAAAAACCTAAAGGAGGAAATTTTTTTGTAATGTTTTATTCTTAAATGCTACTTTTGTAGAATCATATACGTGTTCTGATGATGGCCACTTTAGAAACATAGGAGCATAGATATAACTTATTTTTCTTGTATCTCCTGCCCATTATGATTAGGCAGACATGCTGCGATTGTTTTGAATTGCATTGAAGTACAACCAGATTCTTAAAACAGATACCTTTCTAAAATTCATAATTCCTATATTTTCAAACTTAGATTTGTTGTCTTTTAATCTCCCTTTTATAATATTTTCTATCAAGATCAGATGTTTTATTAGCAATTATACAAATATTCTGGCCTTGTTTGATATGTAAATTTAAAGTGGTGGTAGTCTCTTGTTTTTCAGTATTAATTTTCATGAGGATACCTTTTTACAGTGAATGAAAATATTAGAAAACATCTCAAATTATTTCAACATTCAGCACTCTTCAGAGTTCATTTTGGTCTCTCTTGTGTATTTCCCTTTCCTGGCTGCCTTTATCTTCTTTCAAAATAAACGTCCTAAATTTATCACCTCTTTTTACTAAGGAATAGGTTAGAGTTGGGCATTACTATACATATTACTAAATAGGAATACTACGTATCTTTGCAGTGCCCACTATTGCTATGATTGTATGTCACCAAATATTGAAAGTAACTAATATTTTTTGGTACTTTTTGAAATATTCAGTGTAATTTCTGGTATTTCAGATTTCTCTTCCTTTTATTCATTCAACCAACATTCAATACTTACCATGTATAAGTCACTATGTTAAGTGTCATGGGAGGTAAATAAATATGCTTTTAGGGGTATTGGTTTACAGGGAGCTCAAAAATTGATGGAATGATTAAGACATTATCCAGTACATTGAAGCTAATGCACTAAAAAAATGTATGATTCCTTTTGCTGCCATATAGTTATAAAGTGTAGATGTGAAGTGAGATTTGTTTTTCTGGCCCTTTTATTTTCAAAGCATTAGTATTTAGACATGTATGCTCTTCTGTAGGAAACGACAAATTTAGATTAACAGGCAATTGGAGGAGCATGATTTAAATGCAGGAAGATTAACTAAAGAGGTTCTTTAAATGTCATATTTCTTCTCTGTAAATGTTTGCTTCCATATAATGGTTAATAATGAATAAGACTGGAAACAGAAAAATAAGGTGTTTAAAAACTATTTTTAAGTAGAGAAATAAAGTAGAATTTAGTACCATCCCTTAAAGATACCATAAAAAAACCGTGATATAATTGAAAGAGCATATAGGCTCTGATTGGGTTCTATTCTCTGCACTTTCATTTTCTAAGTATGTGACTAGGGCTGTACAGTTTTTAATGTATTTATTCATATATGGGAATAGTCATCCCATTACATAAGGCATTTGAGAGGATCAAGTGAAATAATGTGATTAATGTAAACAGTTTGTGACACATAGTAGAACCTCAGTAAGTTAGATCTCTGCCCCTTTGATACCTTTTTGAAACTTTTGAAAATATTTAGAATGGGCACATATGTGCTTTTGACTACTCCAGCATTTCCCACTTAAATTCTTTATTGTCCAGGCTCAGTCCCAGGTGGCAATTGGATAAATGTAGTTTACCAAGTAATCTACAGAGTATATAACTGAATTCTTTTGGAGCTTGGCCTTCCCCCCCCCTCACATTTAATAAATAAATTTGTTTAAATTAGCAGTTTATAAATTCAGAAATCTCTTCTTGAGCCTATATGTATGTATGTATGTGTGTGTGTGTATGTGTGTGTGTTTACAGAACAATTTTTATTTTTTT